GCTCATGCAGAATGAATCATACAAGTTGAAAATTTGTGGATTTTCAGATTGCCTCCTAAAGCAGCCAGCAATCCCATGAAAGAGTTACTAAATCTATCTTAGTTTAGGGTAAAATAAGAAATTAGAAAAATCTTGAACAACTGAGCCCATTTCAGTCTTTTGGAACAGGAATTTCTATCGTCTACTTGCTTTCTTCCTTTCCTTTTGCCCGGAGTATTATCTTTCTCTGTCTTCTCCCATCTTGGAAAAAGGGTGGCAACAGAACAAGGGAGGGGCGAGAACTAAATAGATTCAGCAGCTTCATCCCAGGTAGTTTTTCATTTGTCTCTCTGTTGCCTTAATGGATTTCACACATCTTTTTCCTGTATATTGTTTAGTCTCACCTCCAGAGGTAAACGCTTCTCATACCACAATATTGTCTTACTTTTCACTTTCTGCTGTTTTAATTCATTTCAATAAAGAACTAATGAGCCCACCATTGTACAGAACCACACAAGATGTTATTTGTGTCAAGCATGCTTCTTTCCTATAATAAATGTATGTCACAGTTGGGTATGATATAAATATGTAGCTTTATAGCTGTATATATATTCACATGGTTATTTGGATAATAAATTCTACGTACTTGCTGAACTATCATATAAAGCCAGCCATACAAGTTTTATTTTGCCTACTGTTGATACTATGGGCTGCTATAGGACATTCTGTCCTCTGTGTTGGGAGCTCACAGATATTTTCTGTCTGGCTTAATACCAGGATTAGGTATGTTTCTCCTAAACACTTTGTGTGTGTTTATCTGATGGTTATTGTCAATCTTGTTTCCCTCTCTGCTTTGTCTACTTAATAGCTTCTAAAATTTTGACCCACCTCTCGCAAATAGCCAGTCCTTCACCGTGTGCATTTTGATAAACTCATCATACCTCTGGCCTTATTGTTCTCCTACTTTTATTTTCCAGGCGCTTGATTCCTTCAAATATTGATTTCATATCTTTTGGGTTGTATGTGTTTCTGTAATCTTTTGTGGACACAAGAGTGGGTATAAACTCCCAAATAAATATATTCACTCTGCGTGGGGAGAAGTGACAGGAGGGAACATTCAGCTGGTTAGAGAGAGATGCGAAATTCTTACTGGGGAGCCTTTACAGCAGTGAGCAGAGCTTCAGTCTCCTTTTGTGTCTAAGCTCTGCTGTTTCCTGATCCCTTGGACAAATTTTCTAACCCATCTGAGCCTCAGTTTTCTAATATATAAAACTGGAATACTATTAAGGCATTTGAGAGTTTAGCGCAGTGTCTGACATACGTTCAAGTCATACGTTCACCTCACTTCTTTGAGAGGTGAGGAATAGTTTAGGCAGAGTAGCAGTTACAAAACCATGGTGGTATAGAAGAACGTGCAGTGTCCTGGTACACTAGCAGGGGTTAGGAATGGCCAGGTGTAGGCCACGTGCAAGGTTTATATGAAAATGAGTCTGGACAAGAGCTTCTGGGATGCTTATGTGATGGAGGTGTATACTGAATGCTGCTGAAGCCAGCAACCCAGACAGGAATTTTAAGATAGGGAGTGAGAGAGGCTGCTGTTGATGGTGTGGGGCATGCATTTGTCTTGTGTTACAGTAGAGTAGTCCTGTGGCTTTCAAACTACTGTGTGCATAACAGTTACCTGGGGACCTGTTAAAACAGTTTTCTCAGCCCCACCGCCGGAGTTCCAGACTGAGTAGATGTGAGATGGACCCTAAGAAGCCAATTTAAAAATGGGCATACAGGTGATTCAGGTGGCGGATGCGCTTTGAAATGTACTTGGTGGTGCACTGGAATAGTTATTGAGGAAATGCTAACTAAGGGGCAGGCCTGACAAAGTTCAAAGGAGAGGGAAGATGGAAGAAAATGACTTCAAAGCAACATGTTTATATTCATTATGAATTACCATTGCGCATGCTATAGCTTTGTGTCTTCTGTGCATATGGATAAATGAGCACCAGTCCTATAGATTTTTTTCAAAGATGAACTATAATTAGAATTCATATGATTATTTTATTTGTTAGGTTTGGGACAGCTAGTGATTTGCCCTCATCCTTGAGATCCAGCAGGAGACCAAGGGAAGGGGAAGCCTGTTCAACAGAGAGCAATCTGAGAAAGAAAGGTGCAGCAGCGTGAGGTCAGGAAGTGGGAAAGATGGAAATGGGAAAGGCTGGGAAAAGAGCAGTCAGATCCGATTGGTCAGGAATCTATTTGTGAAGGAACCCAGCCAGTATTTAACCTGCTTTGAAAAAACTAGACTTCCAGCATTTTTAATTAGTGGATTGCTCGCTTTTGAAATTGCCCAGTTGGGAATACTCAAGTTTTGATGTGTTTTATCTGCCTGCTAATTAGCAGGCTGCTTGGTTGACCATTACTTTTCCTTTTTTCTGTGGACAGAAGATGCATATGAAGGTCTCTTGGTACATTCCAGCTCAAGTCTGGGTTAAAGTGCATAAGAAACGCTGTATATTTAGTAAGAGTTCTTACTAAATTATAAACAAATTTTAGTACGTCTTTTCTCCAACTTCATTCCTTTTGCTGTAGCACAGGGCTTCTCAATCTCAACACAATTTTTATTTGGGGTCAGAACACTAAAATATATATATATATTTTAGAGACGGGGTCTCAGTTGCATAGGTCGGAGTGCAGTGGCACAATCGTAGTTCACTGTAACCTTGAACTCCTGGGCTCAAGGGATCCTCCTGCGTCAGCCCCTGCAATTAGTTAGGACTACAGGCATGTTCCACCACACTTGGCTAATTTTAAAAATTTTTGTAGAGACAAAGTCTTGCTGTGTTTCCCAGGCTGGTCTCAAACTCCTGGCCTCAAGCAATCCTTCTGCTTCAGCCTCCCAACGTGCTGGTATCACAGGTGTGAGCTGCTGTGCCCTGCACAGGGTATTTCTTACTGTGGAGAGCTGTTTTGTGCATTTATGAGACACTTAGTAGCAACTCTTGGCCCCTGTGTAATCAGTGCCACTAGCACCACCCAAGTTGTGACAACCGAAAATGTCTCCTGAGTGGCTTTGCCGAATGTCACTTGGGATGCAGAAGCTCCACTGACCTGGCCGTAGTGTCCTCTTTCCTCCAAGTCTCTGCCTACTTTGCATGTTTAAAATCCTCTTTTAAAATTGAAAAGATAAAATGAGTCCAGACAATTTGAAATCTTGTGGTACTTTATAGGGATTCAAATCTGTTCCTCCATTACTTTTTGGCCAAATTCAAGAGGAGAAATCTCTCAAATGAATCCAAGCTGGCTGTTATAGGTGAAAAGAAAGTCAAGATGCGCCAGACTTTTGAAAGCTTGCAGTGGTTGAGAGATTTTGTTATTTATACACTTTTTATTTTGGCTGAAAATATTTGGTTTTTGTTTAAGAATTAAGAGAACCATGTAGGCTACAAAATTTATTTATGTGCGAATCCCAGAGGGTTGTAAGTAGCTTCTTTGTGTGCTTCAGTTCAACATATACAGGAGAGGCCAGCATGCTGAGTTGTTAAACAGCAGATCTGGGGAAGGTTTTACACCTTTTCTCTAGGCTTGATGCAGTCCCGAGAGCTTTCTTGACATGCCTTGAAGCTCACAGTGCACTGATTTTAACTGTCCATAGGGGACATCTGTTTGCAGTTTGTGTTATCTTCTGAAGCACCAAGTAAAAGGAAGTGAAATAATATTTGTCATTAGAAAAAAAGAGAGAGAGAAGTTAATTTAGTGGTAATAACTTAGTTGTTGTCGCTCTTCTATCTCTTAAGATATTCTGAAACACCGTGTACTCTACTGCATCCCAAAATAAATCAATTAATTATACTATGATTACTTCTGCTGATAATAAAATAGCAGTAATAATAAAAGGAATGACAGTAGAGCATTAAAAGAATAAACAGTATCACTGAAATGTTAGGAAACACAATAAATGGGATTGTATCTCCTGAACCATAGTTTCACGCTTCCTCCTCCACTTCTGTCAGAGGGTGTTTGTGATGGCCGTCTGTTATCAGCCGTGATCAAAATAATGTAACAGTGAAACTTTTTATACTTTTATGAAGGCCCTTTCATCAAAAATCTCACAGCCATTTCTAAATATAGAGCGACTGATCTTTAAAACACTTTTATGTTTTAAGCAATTAATATGGTAACTTAGCTGTTAGACTTTCCATCCTGCATATTTGCCATTTGGAGCGTGCATGGAACATTTCATAATCTGCTCAGCATTGAAACTTCGCTGGTATCGAGTTTAGAATTCCAACTTTTTGACGGTTCATGTAGGTCTTTTCACCGTCATCTATCAAAACAAAACATTGCTTTATAATGGAATAACCACATTCATTTCCACATATCAAAGCGCAGATTAAGGATTGCAGGCCAAGTGGTATGTCTAGTTAAAAAAAAAAAAAAATTGAAAGACAGAGACAGTATTGTCTTAACCTAAAAAAAGTTTTTATTTTAAGTCCTAATATCCCTGTAATGTGCTGGTGGAAATAGACTACTGAATACTTTCTCAGTCTCATTTTCTGTTGCATGTCTGGTGTCTCCTGTGATAAGCCTGGGCTGTGGAACAGAAAGGATCCAAGAGCATTATGGCGAGGATGCTAAAGGTGTTAGTGTGGATATTTACCTTAATTTAACTTTTTTTGGATTAAAGCTGTGTTAGTGTATTTTAAAACTTATTTTATCCAAAAGATTGTAATAAAACTTTAAGTACAGTTTCACATCTATAAAAACTGAGACTGTCAAACACTGTGAAGGATAGAAGTAATTTTTATGTTCATACCTCTGGTTCCTGAGGGTCCAGTTCATTTCTGCTGTGAATTTAAATGAGTTAATTTAAGTAGATGGGTCAGAAGCCACTATCATCATGGTAGCCCTGTGCCTGGTTCTTAATTAAAGGCAACAGGAGATTAATTTGAAACATTAATTTAAAAGTGCATATACAAAAAGAAAAAATTACTGCAAGAAAGCCTAAAGAACTTTTCTCTTGTCCCTAGATGTAGAAGACAGAAGTAGCTCAGGGTCCTGGGGGAATGGAGGACATCCAAGCCCGTCCAGGGTAAGTATATCTAATCTTTTCTCCCACAACCAGACATCCCACATATGTAAATTGACAAACAGAAGGTGTGTTTCTCTCTCTGTTTCTCTCTCTTTCTCGCACACACACACACACACACACACACACAGAGGCATGGGCATGCACGTGCATACAAACACACACACATATATGTGCATACTAAGTTTAATGAGGATCAGCTTGACTTTGGAATTTTTTTTCCCATTCTCTTCTTGAATGCTGTTATTCAATTTGACACCTGTTCCACTTCTGCTAACCAGAAGAAAATTCCTTCATTACATATTTGGTCTTTCTTTTGTCAGTTGTTGATTGATATTACACAATGCTATTTGTTGTAGATGGAAAAACTTTAAAAAAATTCCTAATATCCCTATAATGTATTGGTGTGAACAGACTACGGAATAATCCCAAAGATACAGTATGAGGTTCTGTCCTACCGGTATGATCTACGTACTGAATCTGAGTTGATTTCACTTTGTAGACATGTTATCATTCCACCAGTAGGGACTTTGATCACTAGTTGGATCATTCATTTATTTGCTCTCAAGTTTTTGCTGTTCTTTTCCACAGTTTTCCTGCATGCATTGGTTGTTTCTTGGGGTGTAATAGGAAGACCATGGAATAAGAGCTGGGTGGGTGGTTAGGCACTATGTATTTTTGTATGTATATGATCCTGGGCATGTCATTTCATCTCTTGCGTCCTCATTTTCCTATTTTGCAAAATGAGGAAGTAGAGCCAGAGGATCATCTATGTTTCTTCCAATTTAAATATCCATGATTTTGTATGAAATTTCTTTAACTGAATCATTGCTAGGCCCTCTAAAATCCATGTCCGCTTTTATGATGTACATATAATGCCCCAGATTAAAAGTACACTTAGTGTACATGGTAAAACCAACATCTCTTCCTCTCCCAACCAGCTATATATAGATGAAGCATTCTGCAGGGAGGGTAACATTTTACTGTAAATGTTCACACAAATTTGGGTTGGGGGAAGGTTCCATTTTGGCATAAGAGGCAGGGAAGGTAATCAAACTGTCAAAATGAGGACATTCCAGCAAGTCAGAGTTAGACATTTCCACCTGTCCTTGGCATTGCGATCCTTAGTCTAGTGTTCAGGGTACAGCAGGATCTCTAAGCTTACCAGTAACTTTGTGAGCCCTTACACCAGCTGTCGCGCTTGACATTCTAATGCTTTATATGGATGGGTTGAGGAAATCTTTCCTCCTCCTCATGTTACAGTCTGCACTTGCAGAAATAAATCCATTCCCCTTGACAGCAAGTGGAGATCATAGAACTCCCCTCAATTGTTTAGTTCATCCAGATTTTCACAATTTCTTATGATTTCTCCATTCAGTACACATGGTACTTTTAATTGTGTTTCAGAAAACAAGGTCTGTTTAGAATCATCTTAATTTAGGATTAAAACTAACTAGCTTTTGGTTTTTGTTAGCTGTCCTGCCATTTTTCTCACGAATATATTGGTGAATAATTTCAAACCAATTTAGTGTAATTTATATTTTCTAAATCCAGAAGTTTGCATGAGACAAATCATTTGTGGCAGATTTATACCCAGGCAGACTTTCAAGGTCTCTCTTTTTTCATCCTAACATGGGGAGAGTGTCTACGTTCCAGCACTGTGCTGAGGATTAAATTAGATAATATATATTAAGCTTTTAGTACACTATCTAGGATGAGGACACTTAATAAGTGATAATTAGCATTATGCAATGCCTGGTATAGAATGAATGAGTGTACTATGATGGGTATTTACAATGTAGCCTCTTTTTATAGATCGACATGTTGGCAGAATTAGACTATAGTATCAGTCAAGTTAGTTGTTACACATGAGGAAAGGTGACTGAGAACGGGGTTGTTTTCCTTAAGGTGGAGGGGATGTGTCTTTTCCCAGTTCATGCAGCAGCCCCCTTTTTTTGTGTGTGGGCAGATTCTGCCCTTTGACTCACATGCAACCGATACTTCTGAGTAAATTTGACTTAGACTTTATGGGCAGTTCCACCAGCTGAGCAGAATGACTTTCCCCCCCTCTTTGGTCACTTTATGCAATTTAGTAGACTGAACGTTGAACCCTGTAGTATAGATGATTTTAACTTTTTTCTACCATGTAATCAAATTTCCCCATTAAAATTAAGTAACTGGACAGCTTAAAAACATTGTTTTAATTTTAAATTCCCCTTAAAACAATAAACTGATTGTAATAATGAAATATTTCTGTCAAAATTTGTCTTCTTTAAACTGGTTGTTTTTTTGTGACATACTTTGTCCAACTCCAGAAATGCTAATTTATGCTAATGTTTTGATGTTCATATCATAGTTAAATCCTAATATTCTTAACTTTCTTATGTGTTAATTACTTATGTGACAATCTAGTTACCTTACAACCACAATAGTAACTATAATAAAACATTGAAACTTCAGTATCCTATAATAAAACATTGAAACTTCAGTATCCTAACACCAAAAGTTATTGTTTGAATGGCTCTATCTTGGTCTTTGAAAAGCAATTCATTGCATGCTATGCCTAATTTTCCCTTGTGGCACTATTTTGCTCTAATGTGGCCTTATTAAAATAATAATTTTTAACATACGCAATATACTTTATAGGTGTCTGATGTTTTACATACACTATTTTATTTAATCATGTCAACAACCCCATGCCGTTGATACCATTATTATTATTTCTAAGATTTCTCAGCTATTTTGAGGAAAAGTTGGTCTTCGTAGACTCTAGAGCTTTCTTTTAGCCACTATACCTGTGAAGGTGCAGATTCCTTCTAGTGAAGTTCCAGTGAGGGAATAGTGGATTCCAGTTTTTTTAGGATGGGAGAAGTTTTGGTAGTGGGGCCATGTTTATGTGCTGTTTATTAATATAAAATAACAACTTACACTGTTATTTTATTTACAGAACTATGGAGATGGGACTCCCTATGACCACATGACCAGCAGGGACCTTGGGTCACATGACAATCTCTCTCCACCTTTTGTCAATTCCAGAATACAAAGTAAGACTCATTTTAAATTAACCTACACCTTTTAAATGCTTATGTTTTACTATAGAAGGTAAAACCATGTCCTAGACAGAGGTTCTGCTTTTAGAAATTTGGATATTTAGTCAGTTCACTTGTAATAATCTTAAATTGCAGAGAAGTATTGGCAGTCTGTGTTTGGTAATAGTATATCAAAGATTAAGTTTTACAACCATATGGAATGAAATGCTTTTGGTGATACTGAATCTACGTGGAAATTTTGTTTTCCTTAGACCTAAAGCACGGACCACAGTTTTAATGTTGCATCAGTAGTTTCTGAGTTAAGGTAGATGAAGTCAAAGTGGTGAATATTTAGAAAAAAATATCACTGGGCTTGTTGATTGGCAATGATATATAGTCAGTGTTAACTGTGATTTCTGCTAAAGGGTTTATGAAAATAAATGGTGTTAATGGGCTTAGTGTGCTTAAATCAGAGTAGTGCGTTCAAGTTGAATTGTAAAATCGGGTTGTGTATTTATCAAGGCGTGAACTTCAGTGCTAATGGCCTAGGCAGACCGCATCCTGCTTTACTAAAGCAAGTTACCTGTTAGTTTGAGCTGTCTGTGAATCTCCAGCATGCCATTCATCCTGGCATCCTCAGCATGTTTTTCTGCTTTTGGCTACCCTGTAGGGACGTTTGTTTAACAGCAGTAACTTGAGCAATGAAAAGATGATTCCTAATGTCTTAAAAGGTCCAATAGCTGGCTACTTTAGTTTTGATTGAAAAAATGATCTTTGTTCTAGTAAACATGAGTTTTTAACAATATTAGTAAATCTCTCAACCTGGCCAGATTCTCTTGAGAATCTGTCAATAAGTGAAGTTACATTTCTTGGTACAAGCTGTTGGACAACACTCCAAGGAAAACACACAACGGTAATTATGCTTTTCTGAGACCATAACTGCAAATGCTTCTAAAGAATGTCATGATTTTAAGCTTTGGAAGCTATACCGGTTACTTCAGGTCCTTGAATCTCGCATTCTTTGAAAAATCACTGTCAAATCCATCTAAATGGATTTCAGATATTTAACACAAAATAGTCAAAGCAGATAAATAGTAGCAACTTATAGTTAATGGGTGACATCATATGTTCATGCCTTCGAGTGTCTTACCAACTTTGAGAACCACAAGGTTGGTTTTGGTCATAGGATGTTCTTATTTTTGTGTTATTTTTGCCTTCAAAGTAGTAAATTTCATATGTATGTTTTAACATTGTAACTAAAACAGGAATCCCAGTCCTTTATCAGTTGTTGATAGGAAGGTGCATTGTTTCTTGTTCTCAGGATATGTAGATACAGGTGACTAGATATGTTTATCAACTTAGATTCTAAAAGGCAGCTTTTGACTCTTCAGTGTCAATAGTTATGATTTTATTTCCAGCACCTTTGCTTTTCTATTCATCTTCACACAACTGCTTAGAATAAAAGATTTATTTGAAAATAGAGTCTTGAGAAGTAGCACTTAAATAATATACTAACTTCCTTGGATCCTAAAATGATCCTCTAATGAGCTACAGTGAGAAAAATGAATAAATAAATACTCATAGTGAGAAGTTTATATTTTCTATGTGAAAAAAGTTTTAACTCTAAAGAACAACTTGATAAATTAATATTCCAGAATACACCAAGCAGTACAAACAGGTTAAATGATTGTTCTATTCATGTTTCCTCATGGGCAACTGCTTTACAAATAAAATTAGTTTTTCAATCCAAATAGTATTTAAAATATAAGTGGCCTGACAGTCTAGAGCAGAGAGAGCGGATTCTTTTCACTTGGTGGTTGTTTAGGCTGCAAATCCATGTCAGCCTTGCTCTTTTATCCCGTCTGCCCTCCTTCCCATTAAACTCTTAAATATGGAGACCAAGACAGTCTCCTGCATTGTGATAGGAAATGCTACTATGTCCACGAGGCCCCCACCCACTGTTCCCAATGAAAGGACTTCTCTGTTAGATAAGCTGTCTGGTTTGAAACATGGCTCTTCATTGTTTACAAACTGCTACATTTTCCACCTCAAGCAGATTTTTGCACAGAAAAGAATTGTGCTTGGGCTAAATGGTTTATCTGACATTAACTGGCCCAGTGTCAGACTGGGGTCAGGGAAGTCGCCCTCAGAGCGAGAGGGCATGGCGCGGTATGCGAAAAAAAATGGAAAAGGGAGAAAAAGACATTGAAGCAAGTATGAAATACCTTACAGTTTTATTTAGAGAAGAACAATTTTTTTTTAAGAGAATTCACTCTGATGCTGCATTAAAAACTCTTCCATCGCTGTAATTTCTCACATCCCAGACGCCTTCTTGATTGGCTTGCGTATCTGAAGGCTAGATTCGGGGAACAAAGATTCTCATTGATTTTGCCCAAGCTGCTGTTTGTTTAAAATGAAACCACTTTTCAGATGAGCCATATTTGGTGTTATGTTACAGCTTTACAAAGAAAAGATAGATCACTTTCAAGAAATTAAGGACAATTAATTTACAAATGGTAATAAAAACAAAGTAAGATCTATTGGTGTAGGGGACAGTTTGAACTCCTAGCATATATGCTGTGTTCTAAACTGCACTTTGTGTCCAGACCCAGAGCCCATGTTGTGACCTTTGTGGACATTTTCTTTCTACCAAAAGAAGGTAGTAGACTTCAGTATAAGTGTTGGACAACACTCCAGTCTCCACTTTCAGAATCTTTAACTGGTTTTCGTTAAAAGTGCAAAGTATTTCTTTCTGTTTCAAAGACTTAATTCTACCGTGATGTCGCGTCAGGGTAAAAGCTATAGCATCAGAAATAAATCAGCCACTTTATTGGAGCAGATTCTCTATTGTCAAATCAATCAAGCCTGTGACTGAATTAGGCGTCTGCTACAGAAATAAGTGACACTAATTTTACAGGAAAGAGTTATTAACTGCAGATGACCTGATTTTTTTTTTTCTTTTTTCTTTTTGGTAAACTGTTCATTTAGTAAGGTTTTATTTTATTGCAAAGAAAGAAAAAAGTACTGCACTACTCTTTCTCTTTGAGAGTGGATTGTTATTAATTATATATTTTGTTCTTTATGGCAGTATACAATTTTAGAGAAATGATAACAGGCATTGCTAGTATATTTGTTTATAAGCTCTTTTATGGTAACGAAACCCATTATTACAACTCTGAACTTCTTGATTTCACATGAATGGTTTTGCATTTTACAGATTTTTAAACATAATACTTCTATTTGGCACTGAAATTCCAAAACTCAGTTCATTTGTGTCTCTATTTCAAATTTATGCAAAGTGGGATGTAAGTTATAAGAGTAATAAAGTGTTTCAGCCTAGGCAACATGATGAAACCTCATCTCTACCAAAATTACAAAAACTTAGCCAGGCGTGGTGGCACGCATCTGTGGTCCCAACTACTTGGGAGGCCAAGGAAGGAGGATCTCTTGAGCTCAGGGGGCGAAGATTGCAGTGGGCTGACATCATGCCATTGCACCCCAACCTGGGCAACAGAGTGAGATCCCATCTCAAAAGTAATAAAATGTTTGTGTTAATTTATTCTTTTAGAAATAAGCTTGTGTGTGTGGAAAAATAGCACTATTTGATAGTTTGTGAATCCCTAAAGTAAAATAACCAAAACACCCATGTGTGGTTATACATGCATGGACACACATGTACACCCACACACCCGACGTATGTATCGTGCTAGAAGAATTAATGACATTTCTTAGTTTATAAGATTGTTCTGTGTTCCTGTCTGTGATTATACTTGTCATACAGGGTTTTAGTGGTTGATATTTGTAAATCTGTTAAAGAAAAGCCTAACTAACAGAAACAGAAAGCAAGCTCCTACATTTTTAAAAAATAGGTGTGAATAGCCTTTCTGTTTGTTTCGATGTTGGCAGGGCTGAGAGATGTGAGTACTGACTGTCTGCATTGACCAATTCATATACTTTTACCTGACATTTACTAAGAACTCACTCATTGCTTTCATTGTGTAGATACATGCCAGGTTACATTTTGCCTTAGTTGAAATTCCATGCATTGTTTTATATCTGGAGAAAATAAATCATTTCTTCCTTATGATTGCCTATCATTATTAATGATTGTAATGTACACTGGACCTATTGGAAACTCGTTCATTGCAGTTCTTAAACAATGTGATGAAACCTTCCTAGGTGGTCAGTTGGATAGTTTTCAGAGTATTCTAATGGTAGAAAGGGTCCATGAGTCTAACTCCTGTGTTTTTTAAGAGGGTTATTTATATGCTATAGAAGAGTTTGAAAATCCTGGCGAGAAGTATATGGAAAGAATACGCACTTAAAAAAAGAAAACTTCTTTTTCCCTTTGTCAAGCACTAAACTTTTGCAGGTAATTGTCCAAATATTTTTACAATGGTAGACAATGTATTTTCTAGCTAAAACTATTTGATCCAAGGAAGGAGCTAAGCATTCCATTTTCCTTTTATTATTCCAGAGCATCGATTGAAAACTGAGGATAAGTGAGCAAGTTGCCCCATAAAATTACATACATGGCATTTGTGACTGAAGGGTGTGAAAAGTGATACTTTTGTACACTTGGCTACAGCTTAGTTCAGCATCAGGGGCTATGCTTTCACATGGCCCATTTTGAATGGTTCAGTTTCCTTACTGTGGTATTTGGTACTAGTCCTACTCATGGTACTTTCTCAGAGCATTAAATAATTTACCACCATAGAGTAAATGGTTTCTAACCTAGCTCAGTGGAACATTTTACTGCTGGATTAGATTGAGGTTTCAGGCAGAACTGAAGAAAGCTGCTGGCTTACAGGATGACCTTTGAATCTCATCTGGGTTAGCGGTTGATATTTTGATTTGGTTACTGTGGTCATATTGTGACAGCTGCTAGCTCATTATAATTCGGTTCCACTGCTCCGTTTGCCTAGCAGGAATATTTAGGTTTGTATTACTTCAGAGTGTTTATGGCTACCCTGAGTTTAGCCCAGCATAAAGGTGAAGTGTTGTGAGTGTTTTCA